CTGGCGAGGAAGGACGGCGGGTGGCTGACGAGCTTCACTATAGATGTGAAGAAGCTGAAGGAAGGCGAGAAGACTGCTCTTATCGAAGAATTAACGCACAAAAAAAAGGAGCTGCAGGGAGAGTCCGGCCTCAAGAAAGTGTTGGCGGGGATGCTATTGCCATCCACCCATGAAATTCACGTGCTGGTGGTTAAAGGAAGTGCCAACAACCTGTCTGAAGCACGTCAGGATAGCACAGATCAATGGCTGACGGAGTTCCACATGAAAAAAATTGAGTATCACTCATTACCACCGATTGCCTCGTTACCAAGCTTCGTCCGGCAACCTCTGCCTGTGAAGGTTCGGATGAAGAGGAAGGTTCTTTCTAGATGGTCGTCGTTTCCTGGTGGCCCCAGCATGGATGTTCAAGATAAAATGTTTGCGGCTGATGATATGGCGCCGTGCAAGAAGATCAAAAAGAAGATAGAAAGTATGTTGGAACCGCTGCGAAGTGGAGACACTGAGTGCTCCTTCATTTGGTTTTGGGATACGGTATTTCGCTCCATACTCGACGTTGTGTTCACTCGCGCACGCATAAACCGCGATTCAAGTAAGAATCTATCTACTGAAAACAAGCGGCCTGACTTCTTGTTTATCTTGAATGATGTATGCGTCTTCCGCGGTGAGGAAGCAGAACCTGGCACCAACATCAACCTGCCGCGAGAACAGCTCTATCAGAAGCTTACATGGGTATATGGAGCGGTACCATATGTGTTTGGCTATGCTGCATCGGGCTACAAGGTCGACTTGTTTGCTCTATTTCGTAGCAGCAGCGAGTCATCAGACGTGGAGAGCTATTCTATTGGATATTTTGACTTGGAGAGTGCAGCAGATCGTTTTCGAATTGTGCTTGCACTTCTGAACTTGTGTTTACTATTTTCCGCCATCACAGAGGCTTGTCCAGATTCTGGTCGGAATGAGTACAGAAACATTCATTGTTCCAATGGTGTAGTTGTGCGATTGAATCCAACATTCGTCGAAAAGATCTTTCCGAGTGAAGAGGGGTTTGATCAGCTGGAGCATATTTATGGTATCATGCAAAGTGCCAATGTCTCCAATGTTGATCGTCTCATCAAACTGAAGTGGGCAAAGAAGACGGCTATATTTGAGCCTCGCGGAACAATGATGAAACCACGCAACTTGTTGGAGTTGTTTGTTGCCCTTCGGAACATCCTCGAAGCTCTTGTTGCCTTACATCGTGAATCGGTGATCCATCGAGACATCCGCTGGTCGAATGTGATCAAACGACGTGACCGTGATGCATGGTTTCTGATCGATTTCGCTGATGCAGCCACAAGCCCGCAACGCTTCCCCAACGGCAAACACCTGAGCACAGAAGAACATGCACCGGAAATCTTTGTGAACGGCAGTATTCATACAACTGCTGTTGATATCTGGGCAGTGGGATACTTGATTGAGACAAGTGGTGTGAGGTGGGATGACCTCGCTAGGAGAACGGCATTTGCAAAGCGGTTGATGCAGAAAGACCCGACAAGGCGACCAACCGCAGAACACGC